GCCTGCAGCTTCCCATGCTAGATGTCCCTTTTCTCCTCAGTGGGGTATAGTGAATTGTCTGTTATCGACAGATTAAATATCTCAGTTTCTACTAAATATGAGGTTTTTCTCCCCATCCTTTTTGCGTATGCTTGACTGAATGAAATCCATTTACTAATTATATTAGTCTGGGAATAGAATTCCAGGTGAATATATCTGAATTAATTAAGTGTCATTCATAATGGCTCACAGTCTATGCACATGTTTACAGGACTTAAATTATAAATTAATGAAATTTATTTTTAAATGTCATTGTGTGAAATAGCTTTAGGGGGAGACCTCTGTATCACTCAATTTCAGGACCGTTACCAAGTGGGTCTCATTGGTTCCACGTCCAGTAGCTATTAATCCCATTTTTGCAGGTAAATTGCAAATGGTTTCCTTGTCAGTATGAACTCAGTGTTATAGCTACAGGAATGATATTCAGTGCAGTCAGAACTCACTCAAAAAAAAAAAAAAAAAGCCAGTGTCTTTACAGTGTTGGAGGAAGTATGAATGAAAAGGTGAATGTTTAAGAATCAAGATGTGTTGTCTGAATCCAACCATGTATATAGCATTTTAAAAGGAAAAGTTCATATAAATTTTACTGTCTAGTATGTTATACTTTTCATAAACAGTGCTTCATTGAATTATGTAATAATGTATTAATGAGTAAATTAGCAAAGGATTATTTGCTTTAATAAAGAACTGCTTTGGAAATTGATTTTATATCCTTCAAGAATACTACATATAATTTATTGAGATTTAATGGAACTTTGAAAGTATACCCCTTTTTTGCTTCAAAAAACTACTAAAGTAACATTGGTTTATATCATTTTGTAGGTTTTAGGAGTACATCATTTTTCCCCCTTTTTGAAATGACATGGAAGTCAGGAAAATGACTTTGATGATACAAGCCCTTCCAAATTTAGCTTTCACTTACTTGAAATCACAACCGATATAATTACAAGATTGATACATATTCACTTAAACATGCATTTTTATCATTTATTCCAAGCACCTATTTAGTTAACCCTTTTCCTTAAAAAGGAATCTTTTAGAAGCACTTAAAAATGAATAATTAAACATCAGATCAACATCAGATCTTGGCATATGCTGTGAATTTTTTTAGCTACCAAAAACTCCAGATCTTAGGGTCAGCCAGTTCTGCTCCTTGAATTTGAGGTTACTCGAGTAAGTTGCCTGAATGAAGAGGAGTTAGTGTGATTAATGATTAAGTGAACTGTCCCAGCCTAAGCCCCCAATTTCCTTCTCTTAAAAAAATAAAAAAAAAAAAAAAGGCTACCTGTGCCAGTAGTAATAGTGGTGGAGGATAGAAGACCTACTCAATTCTGACTGCAAGATCAGGTAAGATGCCATGTCTAACGTGTCTGATGTACCATTTGGTAGGCATCCAGTAAATATTAGCAGCAAGGGTGATGCCTCATGTTAAAGTGAGTTAAGACAAAGCTGGGTCTAGACCTTAGTTGCTCTCCCCGTCTTTCCTCCACCCCCTCCCAGACTAGGTTCTCCTCCACACATACATGGTCTCCTCTCTTCCACTCTTGAATTATAATGCAATCAAGAAGTTTTGGGCACTTTGTACAGAACCAATTTGCTGTGTAACCAAGCTAATAACATTTTTATAAACTCCAAAGCCACGTTTATCTTCTCCATGGATTAAGAACAATTGGGATTGGATAATGCATGTTTATTCCTATTGGGGAGTTATCTTTCCTTCAAAATAGTAATGGTAAGCCAAGCTGTTTTGCTTCAGTTTGTGACTGTCATGTGGTATATATGAATCCATATATGTATGCTTGTTGTCTATGTAAATATCTAAAAAGGAAGACAAAGAAAAGTATGATGCTTTGTTTTTGAATTTTTTGGCTATAATCAAGTAATTGTAAACCAAGAGGTTTAGGGGGAAATTTTTTGGGAAAAGGCAAACAAGAAATGTGAATCCATTGTGAATGAAAGAATCCAGAAGAAATAATATCTATGAAACAACTGTCAAATATAACTCAACATTGAGCTACTTGATTTTAAAAGGTACAGATATATACCATGATCTACAAAATGAAATTATTTTTTTTCTTTATTCAAGTAAAATTGGTTTGCAATACTGCACGATTTAGGAGAGCAGGTTCATACTTCCCAAGTGAAAGATTAGATCGTTGGATCTCCAAGATTCTCATTTTCGTTCCATTGTTTGTGTTTCTAGGTCAACCACCATGTAAGTGTAATTACTTTGTTTTCTCATCTTCTCTAATAATGAGACCAAACATTCCGTTTCCTGGGATACTCTGATTTATTAAATGGGATTGGTAGAAACAACTGAAGTGCTTTGGCTGGACATTTCAAGGAAACACTAGTTCTCATCTCTCCATCTATCAAGAGCCACTTTGGGCTTCTCTCCAAGAGCCCTTTTCTACCCCCATTACAGCGGACTCCCTGCTCTGTTCCTTGACCCAGACTTTACACCCCCTTTCTTCTCTACTGCTTTGAGTATCACTTTGTCCTGCCCCATCATCTGTATGGGTAACACTTTATGACCAGACATAGTTTTGTACTGTTTCCATTATGCCGGAACTCCATTGCTCTTTATGTCACACAGCTAGCAAAACCTCAGACTTGACCAACCCCAGCTGCCTTCAACCTCTGCACTGTACCCTGAGGTCAAGCTCTCGGGGAATGTGGCTCTTCAAGTTTGCTTGGTTCCTTATAAATGAGCCATCATGGATGCAGATGGACTGACTCCGCCCTGTAGCCAGCCACATCTGTCTTCAAACCCGTTCTTCCTCATTTTCAGTCTTATTTATTTATTTATTTATTTATTTAAGTTCTGTGTTCTTCAACCTCTGAATTCCTCAACTCACCTCCCACATTCAGTAAATGGCACAGGTCCTACTTTGAAGAGAAAGTCAGAGTCAGCAGCCAGTTTTTCCTCCATCTTATTCTGCTCCCTCAGCAAGACTATGACCTCTTCCTTCCCTTGACACAGGAGCCTTCCCCCCCCCCCCAGCACAATTCCTGTATGCTTGGCCCCTTGTCCTCCCCCCTTCTCTGGGAAAGGACTGTGGGCAGATCCCTTCTCTCTTCCTGACCTCCTTCTTCCTTGCTCTTCTCTCCACTTCAAACTTCACTCTCAAGCTGGTGAGATGAAGCATCTGTGATCTCTCATCTCACCTGCTAAACATACTTCCGTCTGGTTTCCATTGCTCTGTCAGCTTCTCACTAGTCACCAAGACCGCCTTGCTGCTCAATTCTAGAGTCATTTCACTTTATTCCTCAGAAACATTAAACGTCCTTGGTCCCTGTTGGTTCTTGAATCTCTCCATCATTTCAAGAGTGACACTTTGCAGGATTGCCCTCTCAGCTCCAGGCTTTATTTCCCTTTGATATTCAAGAAAGACTTCTCCCAGCCCTCCTGACCTCTCAGTCTGTCTACTCCCAGGGAACCTATTCACTCCTGTAGAGGAACTAGTCTGCACACAGATTTGTCTCTCGCTCCTGCCTTCCCTGGGAACTTCAGACCCATATGTCCACCTCAGGTCTTTCAGGGAAACAAATTTACAAGTTGGAAATTGAATGCTGCCCTTGCAACACTCTCTCAGTGTAATCATACTTTGTCCTGTCAGGCTAACCCAGGTTTTTATCATTCCAGTATTGCTGGAAGCTCTCTTATTTCCTTCATCTCCCTGGCCTCCATCCTCTGTCAGGCTACTGCTGTCTCCCTGATGGACTTCCACAGTAGCTTCTTAAGGTCCTGGAAGTAGAGTCAACATCATCATATAGTTTTATATTTGATCATTCTATCAACAGCTAAAATCTTGAAAATAAGTAATTTGCTTCAACTAGCTCCTAATCTTGTTATATTTGTGAGTTGATGTTCGATTGATCTTAAGTCTGTGGGAATCCTGGAGGCCTGTTTTGGGGATACTTTCATCCAGATACACCATTTGCATTTTTCATCTGATGCAGACACCATTTTCATTACCTTCAAGGGTCCTAGTCTTGATGCCTTTTGGCTGACTGTCCAGCTTCCTTCGAGCCAATTATTTAAATTGTACTTTCTTTAGAAAAGTCTTTTTATTCTCAGTTGATGTTTTAGTAGAGCCACTATGGATTAAATTCACCCCAAGGGGGAAGAAGTTGTCTTCAAGATTTCCTGCATTTCTTAAAGGTTTTCTTCATCTTGCTCTTGAAACAGACTCTTCCAGTAATCTTCCAGCTTACTAGAAGTAAGGTAGAATCCATTGTTAACAAGAAAAATATAAAGAGAACCAAGACACAAAAATAATCCAGAGAAAGTTCAAAATTTTCAGGATTATGTCACAAATATCCATTCTCGGACATGTGAGAGAACTTGCTTAACCCTTTGTCTCCTTGACCTCGTCTTTGCTTTGCTTTGTGCCCTGCCCAAACTGGCTGCCTTTCGTTGATCCCAGGGCCATATGTCTCTCCTTTTCCTTTTGGTAAACTCATGCCCCACCCCAATACTTATGTTTAAACTTAGTTCCTATGAGGAAGGTAAAAGCCACATGCATAATGTTTTTCAACTGCTCAAAGAGAAAAATCATCTTTTATTCAAACAAATACTTATATGAGAAGTTATCTCAGAACAATTTCTTTCCAGAGGGAAGATATCTTAGTCACCATCTAAGGAGTTTATGTGGAAGTGAAGTGGGAGGACTACGAAGGAGAAAGAGGGACAGCTGGCCATGAGCATGAACTCCAGAACTCCTGGAGGCCCCACAGGACAGTGTCAGCCACATGAGCAGTGAGGCTGGGAGTTGGTGCTAGTGGGAGGGAGTCCAGAGTGAGGAAAAGCGGCAGAAGAGAGGAGTTAGGATGGGGGCGGGGGGGAAGGTTGGTGGTGACTTTTTGGTGTTCTCTAGTTTTCTTCACGAGATACTTGGACAAGTGAAGCAGTTCCCACCAAGATAGTAACCACAGCCACTTATTTTATGTCTTTCTAGATCAATGAACTGAGCCATGTTCAAATCCCTGTTATGTTGATGCCAGATGACTTCAAAGCCTATTCAAAGATAAAGGTGGACAACCACCTTTTTAACAAGTAAGTACAAGTATAACTTTTACAGAACTTATGGGGCTGCCAAGAGAGATTTTTGTGAATTTGTATAATCACTTTTTTTCAATGGGTGGGAGTAAAGTTTTGCTGATGAAGATAATCCTGTGATAAACATAACCATCTGTCATTTTCAGAAAAGCAACAGCGGGCCTTCTTGGGTAATATCCCTTTACCATATGGCATATTCTCCATGAATATCTTACATGTTAAAAGTGATCATTACAATTTAAATGTTTGGAGCTAAAATGTTGGGATTTTTGAGTAGCAGTTGACCTCATCTTAAACAAAACTCTGATCATGATTAGAAACAGAAATGACTTCATAGAATAAAGAATTAAAGTGCATTTTCACAAGAAAAATGGATGCCATGTTATACTTTGAGTATAGTTATCCATTTGAGTTTAATTTGAAGACATTATGGAGCACCTTTTGTTTTGGTCAATGCGTTGAAAATCAGAGGTACAGCAGCCAGTCAGATTTGTCCTGCCCACAGCAAGCTCACATATAATTTGGCACTGCGAAGTACAATAGAGGGCATGTGTGTGTGTGTGTGTGTGTGTGTGTGTGTGTGTTTCTGTGGGAATGCAAAACAGGAAGCAATTTTGAATGAGTGGGCTGAGCCTCTAAGAAATTCCTCCCATGTGAAAATCAATTATGACATTTCATATTGGAGCCATTATTCTAATGTGAAACTGACATATTAATTCTCTTAACTGTCTAGAGCTTGACCTTTTGAGGGAAATCTTCTCTGGAGGAATTTAGAATGTGATATTTGCGTAAAAGAAAATAGGACATTCAGGGAAGAGACAAATTCATTTTGTAAGCTTTAATCATCTAGGGGCTGAGGGTGCTCTGTGGCTCCCCCTGCTGCTTTTCTAGAATTCTACATGTTCTCTGCCTTGCCTTCACCGTGTCTCTCTACATGGCCTCTTCCCACAGCTTTTTCACTGGGGAAGCAGCTGTCTACTGTGGTCAGGATTAAAAAGGCTATAGAGGCCAAGTGTTTCTAGGTGATGAGGGGAGGCAGATGTCTCCTGTCTGTCCCCCATCTTGCTGTGGGCTGTAGTTGGTTCCACGAAGCACACCTGTGCCTTGCATGGGTTATGAACTTGGGCCAAGCACTCGCTTGGCTGCTTGCAGAACTAGACAGCAAATTCAGGTCTGGTTAACTCTTTGTATATCTGAGCTTTGCTCCACGATCTGACTGTTTCAGAGAAAACATGCCGAGCCATTTCAAGTTTAAGGAATACTGCCCAATGGTTTTTCGTAACCTGCGGGAGAGGTTTGGAATCGATGATCAAGATTTCCAGGTGAGTTACTTTTGTAACATTTGCTTCAAATGGTTTTCATCATACCACTTTTGCTCTAAAAAGTAAGATTCATTTTTTGTGAATGCAAGTGACTATGTAATGGCAATTCATTGAAGAATGTTTCAATGTTCTTTCTGAAAAAAATTTCTTTCAGGGAAGAGTCTTCATAGACTATGATTTCAGTAAAAAGTCAACAGGAAAAGAAGTTACTCAGTGGGGAGAGACCAAGCATGTCAGTTGTATAGTATACCCTCATTTCCAGGTGAAAATGTTCTGCCCACAGAACCTTCTTTTGTTCTTGCCAATTTGCTGCTTTTCAGATGTCCAACCTTGACCCTTGCCCACAGCAGTTTCTGACCACTTTGGGCCCACAGTTCCAGAAGGTACTGACACCACAGTTCTGTTGCCACAACCAGGGCACAAGGCCCAGAGTCAGCTGTTGAGTCTGCCCTCCACCTTCGGGCCTCACCTCCTAGAACATGAGTGTCTTTTCCCCCTGCCCATATTTGCGTGGATTCTCAAGCTTAACTTCCCCCTGCCCATATTTGCGTGGATTCTCAAGCTTAACTTCTAAAATTGAGATCATAGTGTTGTCACATCGGATGCCCCCTGGTTATTGCTCCTGGGCAAGGATCTGACATTGGTTTCCTAACTTCCATAAAAGACATCCAGCTTTGTAAAAACCCATTATTTTTAAAAGCAAAAAAATAATCTAAGTTAGGAAAGGCAGAGGCTACTTTCTGGTTTTTCATGACAGTCTATTCATATTAGAATGTGAATATGGATTTATCTTAAATCCTTTCAGATCAAGTATTCACTCCCTCCAATTTGCCCTAAATTGGAAATCCTACTTTATCCTGCATGAAGTGCCATTCCTTTCCTGGGTGACCTCACAAGGTGTACGTTGGTACAGTTCGCCCAGTTTTCCTTCAAAGAACAGGATCCCCATGACCAATCCAGTTTCCCAAAGATGACATTCCTGAAGTATTTGTGGACCTCCCTGTCCTTTCCCTGCCTCATTATTGAACGATTACAAGAATTTCTCAGTTCATGAGAAGCCTCCCAGCTGCCATGTTTTGAAGGGCAGTGCTCCCTGGGCTGTGACTGACACTCCCTCCCATGGACCAGGGCTGAGATTTTCAGGTTCTGAGCAGAGGCTTGGGCACTCAGGAGAAGGCTGAGGGGTGTGGGGTGGGGGGATGGGGGCTTCTAACAGACCATGGTCAAGTAGTGCTCTGGTATATGCTTAAAGTTTCAGAGAATTTAGAACAAATTTAGACTATTAAAGAATAAGCTTTGTGATAGAAGAGGCCTGTGTAAAATAAAATGATTTTGTGTTAAGAATGGTTATTACATTTAAAGAGGCCCTATAAAAATAAACTGAGTACATTGACAGGAATGAACAGCTGTTAACTGACATGCCAGGCAGGGTTTGTCTGGCACTCTCATGCTAAGCGTGTATTCCTCTATCCCCTGCTTTAAGAAGTGTAGGGCTTCCCTGGTGGCCTGGTAGTCTTGTACTATCACCACTATGCCATTAATTTAGTTCCTGGCCAGGGAGCAGACCCACATGGCACAGCAGACCTCTTCTGTCTCACCCGCCGCTCCCCTCAGTGTAGTTCAGTAGATCCATCTCTCCTGCTCCCCGCTCAGTCTCTGGTGAAATTCGTACGCACACGACCACCACAGTGACAACAGTTCACAGAAATGGACTTTTGAGAACCCAAGCCATAGGATCTTGCTCGTCAATTCATCACCATACTGAAGTCCTATTTCTCATAGTCCTGTTAAATGACATTTAAACTGGACCTTTGCATTCTGACTTCTGTTCTGCATCAGATAGAAGTGGTTTGAGATTTCTAAAATGACCAATTGCTGAAATGAAGACCAGCACGTTTCCTTTCCTTCCTCCCTCCCCTCTAACCCCCTCCAGGTTGATATTTAAATAAATGCAAATTGCTGAGTACAAACTTTGAAGGCAAATTAGGCAAGGGGAAGATGATTCACAAGTAACTAATTGGCAAGTCTGTTAAATTCTTAGCATGAGCGAGCTCAGTATAGAGAACCCATGTGAGTGTAATTAATCATTTGAGCACCGCTCCTTTCCTTAGCAATGTCTGGTGCTTTTGGCATTTAAATTGCTGCTTTCTCTTCAGCAACTGTATTTCTATTTAAAAAAAATGGATGTTCAAAGTAACTTTAGTAAAGCAAAGTAACTGATTTCCTTCTTAATCCTACATTCCTTTCCCATTATCTGTACCTCTTAGATTTCCAGCAGGGCGGGACCCTGAGTTTAAACTGAAGACCAGGTCTTACATATATGTGGGACTTGATATACCTAGTTGGTGACTTTGTTTGGTTTGGTGTAAGTTGTGCCAACTCTGGCAGTGGGTTGATGCCTTGTAATCTCCTGAATGCTGCAGGGGTGAAGGCAGAAGAACCAGTCCTTTGAGCTGTGGGATAGGCCAGGACCAAAGAGCCCATTACCTGGGGTCCTTGGCACACTGACTCCCCACCGCCTGGCTTTCATCATCATGGCCAGAGCAGGAAACAGGTGTCAATAGATTACTTTCAAATTGAATAGTTTCTCCATTTGATTTGAAAAGTGAGTTCAATGGCCTTGGGTCTGCTCATGTCTTAGAGCACCAAGCCTCAAGCTGTGTTGCACTGTCTTGCTGGGCTTCTTTGTGTTGAACCCACGGTTTTAAATCAATTTAAGGGTTCCATCATGCGTTTCATCCAGTATTCAGACCTTCGCATGAAGTCAAATGGGTAAAAGGTTTCGACCTGCTTGCATGTGTGAATACCTGTGGGTTGCAGTGGAGAAAAGTCAGTAACCGATCAATAGAGACCACTCTGATGCAAGTGGGACATAGTAATTCGTTGTCCTAATTGACCTGTATTAGAACTAAAACTTGAAAGGAACCGGAAAGCATTTCTGCTGTCTCCACAAACATCTGTATCTTTTCTCTAGTTTGGATGTTTATCTTAAAAAAAAAAAAAAAACCTTTTCTTGCTGTTAGTGACAAATTCTAGCCCCATTTCTAGAAAACTCAGCAGCAGCAGCACCAAACACATGTGTGTCTCCTAAGTGTAAGATGCTCCAGATACTAGCTTGTTTAATGCTTAAAAATCACTTCCTTGGTTTTTAAGTGCCCAGACTTGAATTACATCCTTCTGATCACTGCTGGGTCAGTGTGACCCTGTTCCCACACTTTCAAGAGGGCTCTGGATTTCAAGATGAATGCTCCCAAGAAGTCCACTGTAAGGACACTGCAGGTCTAGTCAGCCCAGGGTCGGCCATTTCATTCTGAAATCAACTCAGTGTGTGTTTATTTGGACCTACTGTGTGTCAGGCTCTTTGTTAGACATTATAGAAAGCAGAGAAGGGAGAAGGAATCAGTTTTCCCCTTAACCAGTTTCAGTTAGCTATAGACCAAAAACGTCACCCACAACAGATACTGAGATCATGTTCACATAACTTATTACAGAGGATTAGAGTTCTATTTTAGTTTTTGTTGTTCATCTCTCTGCTTAGCGTGTAAATAAACTTCTGGTACATATGTGTGGACAGGAAAGAACAGCATCTGCAGGGTGTAGCCCTGTGGGTGGTTTCTGGCGGCCACTGGGATGTGTGTCCTTGGTAGGTAAAGGAGGAACCGCTTTATTTTTAACTTGGATGCCAGGTTGTTTCAGATGCTAATGAGATTTAGCGAACCCAGACACTTTTTAATTTTTTTTAAAGATTTATTTATTCATACAGAACTGGGGGACAGGCCAGAGATGCGGAGGGTGAGAGGATTCACCAGAGACAGAGCGGGGAGCAGAACAGGCAGATCAGTGAAGAACACTGCTGAGGGGAGCAGCGGGCGGGTCAGGAGAGGTCTGCCTTGCCATGTGGTCACCTCCTGGTCAGGCGGGGATCGAACTCACGCGGAAGTAGCTTTAGCTTCTTAGTGCTGTGCTTTAACCCGCTGCGCCACCAGGGAAGGCCCCCAGACACTTATTTTTAATAGTCAAAAAAAGTCTGCATCCCCTTTCTTGTCTCTCAATGTCAATCTTTTACAACAATCCTGAAAGTTAAATGGAGGCTTCAGGTAAAGTTTCTGAGCTTCAGGAAGAGGATTACCCACAAGAAACCAAAAGGTTTTGCAGGATGGAAATGCTGCTGTTAAAGCTAAATACACCACATAATTGAAACTGAGCCCTCGTGTTCTTTGTAGAAGATAATATCAGGTTTACTTTCCCCTACTGCGTCTCCTGAATTAGAATCTCTCATTATTCACATTTGATGCATTTTCTTCTTTGTATTTGTAACAGTTCTCATTTCAAATAATTTTAAAAGCCAGTGCTTTAAACTTTTAATGTTCTTGTTTTGAGTTTAAAAATAAAATTCTAAAGTATTAGGACCTTCAGGGTATACTAAACTTTGGGGAAATTAAATTCTGCAAGTATCTCTAGGAATATATTTAGTGTCTGTTTTAAATTTCCTAAATAGGCAATATAAGGTCTGAGTGTAGAAATGAAGTCAAACTGGTCTACAGGCACCTAGGAGACAGTCCTGCAAGAAAGGGAGGGAGGGCGGAGGAGGAGAAGACTTCAGGGTCAGAGAATGGAGCTGCAGGGTTCAGGAACTGGACTGACTGGGAGGATTTTTTTTTTATTTGAAGTTATTTTTTCCTTTTTAATCAGTATATGTATTTACATTGTTGTTCACTTTAAAGCATCGTTTACTTGCTCCCTGCCCCACAGTTCATCACCATAGTCCCCCATGTTCCTCCCTCCCACAGGGAAAAAAAGTGTATTGCTATTACAGTACAGGCACGCAAAACAAAACTGAGTGGTAGAATTGGGAGCAGTAAATCTCCTGCACTGTTGGTGGTAACACGAACTAGTACAACCATTATGGAAAACTGTTTGGAGGTTCCTCAAACTGCTTAACATGGAGCTTCCTTACAACCCAGCAATCCCACTCCTAGGTATCTACCCTAAAGACACAA